GATCTTTTCAGACAAGAATTGCATTTCCAGCTGAGAAAGCAACATACACAGAGCATGAAACATGCCTTTTTATTTTTATTTTTATTTTTTTTTCAACGTTTATTTATTTTCGGGACAGAGAGAGACAGAGCATGAACGGGGGAGGTGCAGAGAGAGAGGGAGACACAGAATCGGAAACAGGCTCCAGGCTCTGAGCCATCAGCCCAGAGCCCGATGCGGGGCTCGAACTCACAGACTGCGAGATCGTGACCTGGCTGAAGTCGGATGCTTAACCGACTGCGCCACCCAGGCGCCCCGAAACATGCCTTTTTAAAAAGAACTCTGAGTTCTATTGAATGATCATACTAGTAAAACAGAGAGAAGGACTATACCTTAAGACATAGTGTATGTATATAATATTGTTCACTTCTGTAAATTAATATTTTGAATAGGAATCCTGGACACAGGATTCATAGACAATTTATAAGGAAATTTCATCTCTCAACTCTACTTACTGTGAACACTACTCTGGATAGGTTTAAACCAGATTTCCTTTGCATGAAATATGAGTAGGAAGTGGCATTTCCATAGTCATTTTTCTTTCTTTTAACTTGGAGTGTGTATGATACAAAATTAAGCTTTTTAAATGCTTCTTGGATTGCTGCAAGCTTTTGGTTAATTTCCAGAGTTCTTGAAGGAAAATTAGATCAAGGCACACATTTAGTTTTTATAAATCTAAAATTTAATAAAACATATTGGTTTAAATAACTGGGCCTGGACTTGATTAAAATGTAGTTCAAAAAATATCTTTTCTGGGGGTGCCCAGGTGGCTCAGTTGGTTAAACCTTCAACTTTGGCTCAGGTCGTGATCTCATGGCTTGTGAATTTGAATCCCACGTTGGGCTCTTTGCTGACAGCGTGAAACCTGGAGCCTGCTTCAGATTCTGTGTGTGTGTGTCTCTCTCTCTCTGCCCCTCCCCTGCTCATGCTCTGTCTCTTTCTCCTTCAAAAAAATAAATAAACACTAAAAAAAACTACATGTATCTTTTCTGGATGAAAAATTCGAAAATTATATTTTAGCTAATATTTGATTTGAAGAAATGAGATCATCTGAAACTTATTTAGGTTGTATTCACTTAAACTTACTGACTTCTGATGTTAGCTACCTTATCATTTGCTTATCTTTTTCCTTTTTTAAAATTTTAATTAGTTTGGGGCGCCTGGGTGGCGCAGTCGGTTAAGTGTCCGACTTCAGCCAGGTCACGATCTCGCGGTCCGTGGGTTCGAGCCCCGCGTCGGGCTCTGGGCTGATGGCTCAGAGCCTGGAGCCTGTTTCCGATTCTGTGTCTCCCTCTCTCTCTGCCCCTCCCCCGTTCATGCTCTGTCTCTCTCTGTCCCAAAAATAAATAAACGTTGAAAAAAAAAATTAAAAAAATAAAATTTTAATTAGTTAATATACAGTGCCGCGTTGGTTTCAAAAGTAGAATTCAGTTATTCATCCTTTCCATACAACACCCAATGCTTATCACAAGTGTCCTACTTAATACTTATCACCCAGTCTAGCCCATCTCACACCCACCTCCGTCAACTCTCATTTTATCCTCTATCATTAAAGAGTCTCTTGTGATTTGTGTCCCTTCTCTTTCCTCCAGCTTTCCCATATGTTCATCTGTTTTGTGTCTTAAATTCCACACATGAGTGAACTCATTATATCTTTCTCTGATACATTTATTTCTCTTAGCATAGTACATTCTTCCCCCATCCATGTCATTGCAGATGGCAAGATTTTATTCTTTTTGATGGCTGAGTAATATTCTATTGCATATGTATACCACATTTTCTTTATCCAATCATCAGTGAACATTTGGACTCCCTCCATAGTCTGGCTATTGTTGATAATGTTGCTATAAACATTGGGTGCATGTACCCCTTCAAATCTGTATTTTTGTGTCCTTTAGGTAAATGCCTAATAGTGCAATTGCTGGATTTTGGAGTAGTTTTATTTTTAGTTTTTTGAGGAACCTCCAAAACACTTTTCTCCAGAGTAGCTGCACCAGTTTATATACCCACCAGCAGTGCAAGGGGATTCCCGTTTCAACGCATGCTGGCCAACACCTGTTATTTCTTGTGTTATTAATGTTAGCCATTCTCACAGGTTTGAGGTGGTATCTCATCATAGTTTTGATTTGTATTTCCCTGATGATGAGTGACGTTGAGCATCTTTTCATGTGTCTGTAAGCCAACTGGATGTCTTCCTGGATGTTGTTGTTTTCTGACATTTTGAATAATGTACATACATGTCAGTGTTCTCTTTCGATTCAGACACTGCATCTGTTATTTGCAAGGGTCACAAATTGCTGGTTCAGTAACCAGTTCAGCCCTCATAATGTCTTATTTAAACATGAAATTGACAACTTGAAAATAAAAATAATTATATTAAAATATTATAATCAAGTGAAAGCAGCCCCAAATCCATACTGAGGTAGGTAGGTAAGTAGGTAGGTAGGTAGGTAGGTAGGTAGGTAGGTAGGTAGGTAGGTAAAATATAGAAGGAACGAATATGTTAGAAAAGTCACCATTAGGCAACTACCAAATAACTAATCCATGGATCCTAAAACTAGTGAGTTGAAAGTTTAAATGAGGAATGGGATATTTACAAAGTAATGAATATCCCTATAAATTTCTTATTAATTGTAAAGGGAAAAGTAGTAAGTTTACATTAGAGAATGCCAGAGATAACCACTTGAATCAAGTCATAAAAATTAATATCACTAGTAATGTTGACCAGTGGACAGGAAGAACAAAAAACATCATTTCTGCCAAAAATTCATATCCTGAATTTCATGATTCATCATAATGAGACAAACCCAAAATCAGAGGCATTCATAAAATAATTAGTATATTCAAAAATGTCAGTTTCCTGAGCAGCACACACACACACACACACACACACACACACACACAAAAGAGAAACTGTTCCAGATTAAAGTAAAATAAAGAATTACCACAACTAAACATAATTTATCATCCTAATTTGGATACGTAGAGTGGTGGGAGAGAACAAGTGTGGTATAAAAGGCATTATTGGAGAAGTAGATGGAATATGCATTATAGATTAGATAATAATTGTTTCAACATTAAATTTCCCTCTTTTAATACTTGTACTATGGATGTGGTATATGTGTGGGGAGAGAGAATGATAAAGCAAATGGGGCAAATGTGAATATTTGGTGAATCTGAATAAAGGTTTATGGGAACTCTTTGTTCTAGTAACTTTTCTAAAAATTTGAAATTATTTAAAAAAAGTCAATTCCATAAAAAAAAAGTAGGCAGTATTCTAGATTTAAAAAGGCTAAAGAGATCTGACAACTAAATGCAAGAAATGATCCTTGGCTGGATCTTAGATCCAAAAGTGGTGGTAGTATCAGGGTACCTGGGTGACTCAGTCAAGTTAAGTGTCGAACTCACTTTTGGCTCAGGTCATGATCTCTTGGTTTCATGAGTTCGAGCACTGTATCAGGCTCCACGCTAATCCTACCAACTCTACTTGTGATTTATTCTCTCTCTCTCTCTCTCTGTCAAAAAAAATAAACTTAAAGAAAAAAATAAAGCTGGTGGTAGTATCTATAAATGGCATTAGTGAGTCATTTGGGGAAATTTGAATATGAACTGTATATTAGATTATATTATTAAATTTTTATGGTATAATGAGGTAATTCTTAGAAGATACATGATGAAGTATTTGCTGGTGAGGTGAAGTGACATGTTATCTGCAAATTAATTTTAAATGGTTAAAATAGGAAAAAGGAAGGCAGAAAGAAAAACACTCCCCCACCAAAATCCCAAAGTCTTAACTAGAAAGAGGAAAAGCACATATGGCAAGGTATTAACATTTGGAAAGATCTAGTTGAGAAAATACAGTGGACAGTTTGTTGTATTATTATTTTAGTCACTTTTGAATAAGAAGTTGTAGTTGTCTGCTTTAAACAATACATACTTTCTCCATTTTTTCTTTCTTTTCTCTTTGGTATTTGAATATGATCTCTGTTCTTTTAGCTTTTACACTAAATAACATTTTTTAAAGGTGCTTATTAACTATTTTAAAACACTTTACATGCATTATTTCATTTAATTCTCACAACAGTTTAATGAGATAGATATAATTTCATCTCCATTTTTAAAATGGGAAGAATGAAGCCTAAAAAATTTGGACTTCCTCAGGGTCTCAAAACTAGCAGAAAACTGAATCAAAACCCAGGCAGTCTTGACTCTAGAAACTCTGCTCAACTGTTCTACCATTTTGTTCAATAAAACACTATGAATATATTTGTTAACCAGCAAGCCAATGGCAGCTGTTTTTTTTTAGTAGCGATCAGAGTAAGGTAGCCATTGAGAATAATACACTGATGAATTTGGACCTTTAAAAGTGTTAACTTCTCAGTGTACAGACAACCTCTAAATTTAAAGTCAGTGTCCTTAAAGGAAGCAAAATGGTATACTTCATGGTGAGGAAAAGGTATTCTTGTCAGGAGAGAACATGAAAGAAAGTTTGAAGATAGGTGATTCTTGAATATTATGTCTAATGGAGTATACTGTTTTCTGTGGTTGAAATACTTTTTTTCATCTCTTCATTAAAACCTATCTAGAGCTTACATGAATCCTACTCACCCATAAACAGGAGTCTTTCCTTCCTGTGTAGTGCTGTTATATTTTAAGATGTTCAAAAAGTGCCAATAATGAGTACATGCAAATAAATAAAGCATGGATTCTGTGTTGAGGGAATAACTAATTTTTAGGTACCATTTATTTACCTGTTATTTAGAAGTTTGAATTAGGTTTTACTTTTGAAATACAGTTTCTGGTAAGATATGTGCTTCTATAGTGATTATTACCTACTTAATCATATCTGTTACAAATTGTAAATACAGCTTCGTTTTAAGGATTCAAGCTAAATATGGGAAATGACAGAGTTTGAAAATGTGCAGTTTTAATTGTAGCATTCTGTAACTTTTTCTTGGTAGGTTGTTCCAGTTTTGGTGCACCTCCTGTCTGCTATCAGCAGTGTTAGGCTTTATATTCCTAAAGACCTTCGGCCAGTGGATAATAGACAGAGTGTTTTAAAGTCAATACAGGTACACGTATTAGTTTTATAAATTTAAATATAAATTTTATGTAAAGATAAATAGAATTTATAACAAGACAGCTTAAATGCTTTAAAATATATTTCTTTCTTTAAAAAAAACAAAAAACTATAAACACTGCCAGTAGTGGAAGTTCGTGATATTTGTATAGATTGTCTACTCGTTGAATACACCAAAAGTGAGAAGTAAGGGAGAACCCAAAAAGGAAAACATAGCTACTGTTTTATGCAAAATGTTTTGCTTTATTTGTTGAGTAAAAATAACTAGACTGCATTAAAAATTTTATGTATAAAAATCATGTGCCAGGACTTTTAACCATGTTTTAGTTTTATTTTCAATAAGAAAAATTATGACATTCTAGAAATCTATTTTCCAGTAGGGGAAGAAAATGGAATTTTGTTAGTTATTTGGTCAGCAAACATTTGGATTATCATTTACTGGTGAGCAAAGGCTCTGTACTTGAATTTGAGAAAACGAAGATAAGCAGGATGCTTTCATTGTAGAGCAGGAACATTCAAGCTGTGGTCCTAGGCAGGCTTTCTGAATTGAATAATTGTCTTGACAGTTTTATAGAATTTTTATGTGGATAAACTGTTTGTTGTTGTTGTTTTATCCCTAACTCACCAAATTCTATTTTACCTTTAAGGCCTATCCCAAGACCTTGAAAGTCTCCCCAGGGCAGTACCAGCCTACAGTGAGCTGTCCCTTCTCTGAACTCAGATACTCATTATATTTAACAGTTAAATCATGTAAAAAAAAAAAAAAAAAAAGACCCCAAAACACAAAATTAATGACAGGAATCTGGACCCTTTAAAAAACTTATGTCTTTCGACTCAGTAGTACCCCACTCCCCTAGGAATCAGCCCCAAGGAAATAATGTGAAAACTGAAAACCATTTACACCTGGGTTGTTTAATATAGGATTATTTATGACAGTGAAAGGTTACAACAACCTAAATGTACAAGAATGTGTTTGGCAATAAGTTGTCCCACACTTAGAACTATTCAGCTCTTAATACTAAAATTATTAATAAATTTAACACATCCCTGTATCAGTATATCATGGTATGATTCAAAAGGAGGTTTCAAAACCAAATGCAACGGAAAAGTGCAATCCAGTTTAAGTGCATTTTTCAATGTGTTTGTGCACAGAAATACATAGAAGGAAATATTTATTTAGTCTTAAATAATTTTGTGTATAAATTTTTTGTTTCAGGAAGTTCAGAAACGTTTTCCTGATGGTGTTCCCTTATTAGATCCTATTGATGATATGGGCATTCAAGATCAAGGGCTGAAAAAAGTCATCCAGAAAGTAGAGGCTTTTGAACATAGAATGTATTCTCATCCACTTCACAATGATCCAAATTTGGAAACAGTGTATACTCTTTGTGAAAAAAAAGCACAGGTATGGCAGAAACTTAGTTTGTATCATAAAATTTATATATTTTACTAAATAGATGATTATGTGTTTTCTATTTTCTTTTCCTATTGGTTTCATCAGCTAAGACAGGGAAATATCTCCTTATCTTTTGAGGAGACCATCACCTCTTATCAGCAAGACAAGATGAAGATCATTTTGTTATAATTTGGTATTTGATGGTTTTTCTTAATTTTTTTAAATGTAATATAATTCATGTATAGTAATATTTACCCTTTTAAAGCATACATTTCAGTGGTTTCTAGTATATTTACAGATAACTGCAACCATACCACTGTCACAATTCCAGAGCATTTCCATCATCCCCAAAAGAAACCTTATACTAATTAGCAGTCAACTCTATTTCTCCCATCTTGCAGCCCCTAGCAACTACAAATCTCCTTTCTGCCTCTGTCAATTTGCCTATCCTGGAGATTTCATATAAGTAAAATCCTACAGTATGTGGCCTTTTGTGTCTGCTTTCTCCACTTGGCATAATGTCTTCAAGGTTCATCCATGTGGTAGCCATGAATTAGTACTTTATTCCTTTTTATGGCTGAAAAATATTCCATTATATACATATACCACATTTTGTTTAACAGTTCAACAGATGATAGACATCTGGGGTTTTTCCACTTTTTGGCTGTTTTGAGTAACCCTGCTACCAACTTTTATGTACGAGTTTTGTGTGAAGATATTTTCATTTCTCCTGTGTGGAATTAGGTAGAATTGCTGGGTCATATAGTAAGTCTAGGCTTAACCTTTTGAGAAACTGCCGACTTTTTCCCCAAGTGGCTATACCACTTTACATGTATGTAAATGTACATACATACATTTACAGCAGTTTATGAAAGCTCTTATTTGTGTTCTCACCAACACTTGTTATTGTCTGTGTTTTTGATTATAGCCTTCCTAGTGGTATGTAATAGCTCAGCTTTTAGGGCAATTAGCTGTAGTCTGTAACCAGAAAAGCTAGTTAATTTACAGATAATTAATTTAGGATAACCTAAAAGAGCAGAGGACTGTGATAAGTACTCAGAGGCATATGAAGCTTACCAGTTAGTAGAAGACAGCCCCCTATTAAAGATTTTTTTCCTCAATAAATTTTACTGAAATGTACTTTGGATATACTGAGTTAAATAAAATATTATTAGAATTAATTTCACTTTTTAAAATGTGGTTACTGGAGAATTTGCTTTTTCAGACAGTGCTACAAGAACATACTTGTACTGCCTCACAGATACATTATTCATTGTGAATAATGAATTTAGGAAAAGCTTTTTGAAGTGAAGACATTCCTTTCCACTGTATACTTCTCTTCAACTAGAATCTTTTGTACTCTAGAAATGTTCCATCCACCTTCAGACTTACAGCTCCTTGCTGTTAAGCCTTTTCAGCTTTTAATCGCATGCCACTTTTATCACATTAGTCTTCCTGTTACACAAACTATTGTTTTAAACTCTTTAGATCAGGCATTTCATTTTAGCTTTCTTGTACTCTCCTCGATCCCAAGTGATCTCTTTGTAAAATAGATACCTGGTATTTATTGAACAAGTGTGTGAGTGGAAACTTATTGGCTTAACAGAGTAGTATGTTTAGTTCACAGTTTTACAACACTCTTTCTAGCTTTCTGTGAACTAACATAATGGGGCCCTGGGCTGCGGTGGGGCGCAGCAGCTGTGGACGTGTAGTGCACCATGCTCTGATCCACCATGAAGGTACTGCTCAAGATGAGGAAACTGAGAAACCAAAAGCGTTAGTAACTTCTACAAGGATACCCATGATCCTGGCCTGTTCATCTCTCCTTGGGACCATTGCATCAGCTCCCTACCTTCTTAAATTTACTTTCTCTCTTTCCACCAGAGAGTCACCCTTAGCAATTCCACAACACAAAAACAAAGAGACTTGAGCTTGGTTGAATAATGACTGGAAAACGTCCACAAAGAAAATGGTGCGAAGCCACAGAGAGTGGTGTTACCTGAGCTACTCTGACATAAAGGAAAAAGGCCTTAGTGTCTGGCTAAGGGACTGACTAAATAATCTTGTTGTGAAAACTCAACAGTACGTGGAAAAATGCTTACACAAGAGCATTAAATGTAAAAAGTTGGATCTGAAATTGATGTGGACTATGATTATAATTTAGCAAAAATAAAAACATATACCAAAAAGACAAAAAGGGAAACCTTAAGTGGTTGTCTGGGCAATGAGATTATAGCAGTGTTTTTTTCTTCCTGTTTTTTGCTCCCTAATTGTCTGTAATGTTATAACAGACATTTTATAATGTCTTTTTTATAACATTTTTTTTTATATTTTATATAAAATATAAAATTTTATAACATTTTATAATGAAAGAAAACTACGAAGAGTTAACAATTTAGGGAAGGAAAAACAAGTCTTTTTATGGCCTCCTACTGACTGAAGGATAAATTTCACATCCCTTAACCCTGCCTAAGAAAATAAAAATCTGATCCCTCAGCTGTCATTTTAAGTGCTCGCACCGGACCAAGTTTTCCTGCTTCTAGGAATTGAGACTCCAAGGTGAGGTAGTACAAGTATGTTCTCGTAGCATTGTCTGAAAAAGCAAATTCTCCAGTAACCACATTTTAAAAAGTGAAATTAATTCTAATAATATTTTATTTAACTCCGTATATCCAAAGTACGTTTCAGTAAAATTTATTGAGGAAAAAAATCTTTAATAGGGGGCTGTCTCCTACTAACTGGTAAGCTTTATATGCCTCTGAGTACTTATCAGTCTTCTCTTTTAGGTCATCCTAAAGAGGACATCCTCTTTCAAAGACACTTTAGAAAACAACTTTTTTTAATATAATAGACCTGATGAGTTATGCTAGTATAGCTATGCTAGTTATGCAGAAAATTGTCTAGCATAGAAAGCATTCTTTTTATCCTCATAGCATTATGACAACACATTTGTTCATAACAGTGTAGATAACCATTAAGAGATTGGATTCTCAAGGCTGGCAGAGTGGTTTTGAATGCCATCTTTATTAATCACTAGCTCTGTGATTTTGACCAAATTACTTAGTAATCTCTGTCTCAGATTTTTATCTTTGTAAAATTCGTATTTAGTATTAGTTACCTACCCTATATATTGCTATAAGAATTAAATGAAGTAATGTAGCAGCACCTGGGTGGCTCAGTCAGTTAAGTGTCCAACTCTTGATTTCAGCTCAGATCATGATCTCATGGTTTGTGGGATCGAACCCTCCATGAGGCTCTGTGCTGACAGTGCAGAGCCTGCTTGAGATTCTCTCTCTCCCTCTCTCTCTGCCCCTCCTCCACTCGGCGCTCACTCTCTCTCTCAAATAAACATTAAAAAAAAAAATAAAAATTCGGGGCACCTGGGTGGCTCAGTCAGTTAAGCATCCAACTTCAGCTCAGGTCATGATCTCTCTCGGTCTAGGAGTTCAAGCCCTGCGTCAGGTTCTGTGCTGACAGCTCAGAGCCTGGAGCCTGCTTCATATTCTGTGTCTCCCTCTCTGTGCCCCTCACCTCAAAATAATAAATAAACATTAAAAATTTAAAAAAAAATAATGTAAAGCACTGAAAATAGGGTACATAGTTAGCTGTCAGTAAATATCCATTACTGACCACTGTTTTGCCTTTATCATTTCTGCTCCTCAACTGAGTCTTAATAAATTGCCAGAATTCCAGAATCTTTGAATTTTAACTTCTATTCCCTAAAATTTTCTTTTTGCCAGTCTTTTTCTGAACTTGAAGCCCTAACCTTGGAATCCAGTGTTGTCTTGTTCTTGTACTATGATATTCTTGTCACAGTTTGAAAGTATGTAATATTTACTGATAAATAGAATTTTAAAACTCATCCACTCTGAAGGATGACCTAAAAATACATTTTCCTTTTAAAATATAGAATAAAGACCTGTTCTCTTTGCTAAAGCATTTCCAGCTTTGGCAGTTCTATGATAGAATTAGAAGGCAAAGAGAAAGGAACACCTTTCAGGACACATCATGGGGGAAATATTAGTAGCCAAGAAATAAGATTCATATATTTCCTCTTTGCTCTTCTCTAAGCTACCCCCTCATTTTCTAAGGATGAAAAGCTGGAGCTGATGCTGCTTTAGAAGCATGATTAATGGTCAAATCTTATCTTGGGAAAGCCTATTCTAATTTACCACTGACTTTTTCTCCCTCCAGCAGGTTACCTTATCTAGCTGCTGGCTGTCCAACTCTCCTTCTAGACTTTCCTCCTTGCTCGTTATTTAAGCAAGAATCATACTCTGTTCCCCAACTTCTTAAACTTTATCAACTCCTATATCTCCCTAAGTTGCCTTACATTTTTCAAATGGATGTTTTATATTTCCATATATTTAACATTTCTACAAGTATTTAATAACTACAGATGTATTATTTCCTTTTTTCTAATATCCTAGGTAAGTATCTAAGAAGTTCCAGGTATCCTTGTAAGGTATCCTTATGAAAGATTTTTTATTTCATTATGTGAGTAAATTTCATTTTACTTTGTTTACTTTATTGAACTTTCTTTATACTTTCATATGCCTTAGATTGCAATAGATATTAAATCTGCAAAGCGAGAACTAAAGAAAGCAAGAACTGTCCTACAAATGGATGAGCTCAAATGCCGCAAACGTGTTTTAAGGAGGTTGGGATTTGCTACTTCTTCTGATGTCATAGAGATGAAAGGACGAGTGGCTTGTGAGATAAGCAGGTAAAACCTGGTTGTTCTAGAAAACTGATTTTAAAATGAGATAGTGTGTTGTTTTTTTTTTAATGGGCACTTTTTTTTGTTGTTTTTAATGTTTATTTTTGAGAGAGAGAGAGAGAGAGACAGAGTGCGAGTGGGGGAGGATCAGAGAGAGAGGGAGACACGGAATCCGAAGCAGGCTCCAGGCTCCAAGCTGTCAGCATAGAGCCCGACGCGGGGCTCAAACCCACAAAATGTGAGATAATGACCTGAGCTGAAGTTGGACTCTTAACCGACTGAGCCACCCACGCACCTTAAATGGGCACTTTTTTTTTTAAGTTCATTTATTTATTTTGAGAGAGAGAGGGAGGGAGAAATCTTAAGCAGGCTCTGTGCTGGCACAGCATGCAGAGCCTGACATGGGCTCAAACTCACAAGTTGTGAGATTGTGACCTGAGCCGAAACCAAGAGTCATATACATTAACCAACTGAACAACCCAGGCGCCCCAGTAAATGCAGTTTTTGATGATGAAATTGAGAAATTAGAAAAGAATTAAATTAGAGAAATTAGAAAAAGAATTTTAAAAATCTCATGGGGTGCCTGGGTGGCTCAGTCAGTTAAGTGTCCAATTATTGATTTCGACGCAGGTCATGATCTCATGGTTCCACACTGATAGTGTGGAGCCTGCTTGGGATTCTCTTTCTCCCTCTTTCCTGTCCCTCCCCTGCTCATGCTCGCTCGCGCTCTCTCTCTCTCTAAATAAATAAATAAATAAACATTAAAAAAATTTTCTTCCACCTACTAATTAAAAAAATTTTTTTTAATGTTTATTTTTGAGAGACAGAGCAGGAGCAGAGAGAGAGGGAGACAGAGAATCCCAAGCAGGCTCCAGGCCCAAGCTTTCAGCACAAAGCCTGACTTGCGGCTTGAACGCAAGAACTGTGAGATCATGACCTGAGCTGAAGTCACTCAACTAACTCAGCCACCCAGGCGCCCCTCATTCCACTATTTGATACAAATGCAATTGGCATATTGATGTAATCCTTTTTCTCTTTTTGTTAATGCATTCTGGATCTTTACATAATTCTAATCTTAGTTTATACACAATTTTGTGTACTGAATTCTTATTTACAATTATGGACATATTCCCACCTTAAACTTTAGTGTAATAACCATTTGCTTTTTATATATATTAAAGTTGTTATTAAAGTTTGGGGCTAACAATTAGGGAATTACAGCAAAGCATATTATAGGCCACAGCATAAAACTGGATATAAGATATTATCTATCTTGGTGATCTTTTACCATATTACAAATGACCTTAAAACTAAATGACTTGAAACTGTAGCAGTCATTTCATTGTCTCTGGTGGTTTCTGTGCGTCAGAAACTCAGGAAGGGCCTATTGAACGGTTCTGGTTCAAGGTCTCTATGTGATTTCCATTAGCCTGAAGATACATCTTGTTTTGTCCATGGTTTAACAACCATTATTCTCAATGAGTTCATAAAAAATGTTTTTGAAACAGTTACTTGTATATTCACCGTGGCTCTAATGGATGGAGCTGGAGAATTATAGGCCTTGTATATGGTTTCAGACATTTCTGGGGCAGGCCTATTCATACTACTCTTATTGATCATTTAGTTCGGATGTTAAGAACTGGTGTCTACAGGAGCCAGCCAGGATACTGTGGTAAACCAGAACAATTCTTGGCCACCAAAAGGGGGCAGCAACAACCCAGCCCCGAATAGTTGTTATTGTGGAATATAGTGTTATCAGATTTTTCAATTTAGAAAAGCCAAAAATCCAGATTTTTAGGTGAAATGAAATCCCTTGTTTTTTTAAGTGTTCACAAGCTAATTCAGAATTTTTTAGTCACTGTCTGGGCCAAATATATCATTTGTTCAAGTTAGATATGGCATGTCAGCATCTAGTTTTCCTTAAAGCTACTTTCCTACTTTGTCATTAAAGAATTGTAGGCACCTTAAGGTTAATAATTTACCCAGGAATAAAGCTTCACCACAATACTGGTCTACTAATTCATATGCCAAAAATAATGTTATTGGAATTATTTCTTTGTAATATTATATAGAATCTAACAACATAGAAATTAATTTCTCTTAAGTATCTATAGCTGGATTTAGTCTTGGGAGGATGGTATCGGTTATATTCTAAAACAGACTAGGTAGAGAGATAGAAGTAACACTATCACATATGAAAGTATGTTACCTTTCCCCCTGTATTTGCTTCTCCCTCTGGTTTCTGTCTTGCTGAATAAGACCCAGCCTCTGAAGAGAAAACTTGGGAGTCATTCTAGATTACTCTTCCTTCTCTCTCTCTTCCCATCTTCCTGTTTCCTCCACATCTGTGCCCCTTTAACTGTTCCCACTGACTACTAGTGGGCCTTCATTATTTCTTGCTAGGGTACTACAGAAGCCCTCATTTTTGTTGCTTCCTATCTTGAGTGTCTATAACCCATCCTTTATACTGCTTTCAGAGTATTCTTTCCAAAGCACAAATCCTGTCATGTCAATCTTTTGATAAAAGTCTCAGTTATTCCCTAATGCTTTTAGAATAAATTCCATAATTTAGTGTTGTTGCCCTTCCTCTGTAGCCATATCCCACGTATTTCTTTCTCTTAGCATGACCTTTTCCCTCGCTCCCACCTCAAATCCTGCTCATTCCTGCATATTTTTCCTAGATGTTATGAAACTTGCTATGAATGTCTCCAGTCTTATTTTGAGTTTCTCAATTTTCTTTTTACATAATTGCCTATATAACCTGTTAGATCACTCTCCTATGATCTAGTAATCTTTCCTGTCTGCTTTTGTAGGGTGTATATAGTAACATGTAGTTCTTTAAGTTGTCTTGCCTTATTTGTACTGTCCTCTTTGTTTGACTTAACTCTCCTTTTACCATCAGAAGGCCAAATTTAGTTTTTAACTTTATTTTTGAATAGTTAAAATTATTTATAAAGATTGATAATTAGAGACTTTATCCTTTTTTAGAAGTCAAAGTAAAGTTTGTTTGTTTTTTTTAAATAGAGTTGAATACCCAGCGTGTCTGGATGGCTCAGTCATTAAGCATCCCCCTTTTGCTCAGGTCACCACATCAGGCCCTGTGCTGACAGCTCAGACTGGAGCCTGCCTAAGACTCTGTGTCTCCCTCTATGTCTTACCCTCCCCTGCTTGCCCTCTGTCTCACTCTCTCTCAGAAATGAATAAACATTAAAAAAAATTTTTTTAATAAAAATAGAGTTAACACCCTCATGATTACTGTTTTATAAATAAGAGACTTTATGGAACCTTGATTACAGAATTCTAGAAACACTGTCTTTGTAGTCTTTTGTAGCTTCCATTGAACACAGTTAAAAATTTATAATTTTTTGTTTTCTACCCATGATGGCAAGGAGAAAAAAAAAGAAAGATATTTTCCAATTATTAGACAAATCATAAGACACAGTGATGATAGTGAAATCATATAAGCAAAATCTTAGACTATAGGTAAATTCTCAAACTGAAGAATCAATAAGGGAATGATAGATCTCTAAGGACAGAAAGAAAAAATTACGATTCCTATTTTACTTTTCTTTCGGTTCAAGAAGGAGTTATGTAATGTTTTGTGCTAAGAACTTGGATCATCCCATTCTACTAGAAGGATTTATAACTGTCTTTCATCTTTTATGATTTGCTTGCTAAATTGTGTTTGATATGGTTTTTAAGTGGTCAAATACTGAAAACAGTGGTAAATATAAGGAAATTATCAAGAAAAAGTTGGAGAGAGAAAAAAAAATGGTTGGATTGATTATTCTAATCTTTTTTTTTTTTTTTTTTTTTTAACTGTTATTTATTTGGAGAGAGGGAGACACAGAATCCAAAGCAGGCTCCAGGCCCCAAGCCGTCAGCACAGAGCCCAACACGGACCATGAGATCCTGACCTGAGCTGAAGTTGGACATTTACCTGATGAGCCACTCAGGCACCCCGATTATTCTAATCTGTATAATATAAACCTGAATATGAAAATGTTGTACAATAATTACACAGCAAAGAGGATGGCCTTCCTCTCTTCAACAGAATTACAAGTTGTCAAAATTTTTTAAAATAGTGTATTTTGATGATTCAAAAGAGGAACCAAAAATAATAAGCTAGAACCTTTAAAGGAGATGTATTTAAAATCTGCTGTCAGTAGTATATTTTGATAATATTAAGTGCAGGAAAAAAACCAGAGATGATGATGAGCTAGTACCTCTTGGGGATGTATTTGAAATTTGGAATTGTGGGGCACCTGGGTGGCTCAGTCGGTTAAGTGGCTGACTTCAGCTCAGGTCATGATCTCACTGTCCATGAGTTTGAGCCTCACGTCGGGCTCTGTGCTGACAGCTCAGAGCCTGGAGCCTGTTTCAGATTCTATGTCTCCCTCTCTCTGACCCTCTCCCATTCATGCTCTGTCTCTCTCTGTCTCAAAAACAAATAAACATTAAAAAAAAAAAAAAAAAAGAAATTTAGAATTGCATATACTCATGGATATAGTCCAGATTTGTGGATGATAGTTGATGAACAGCAATTTGTAGCATTTAAAGACCATTGCCCATCTGGGTTATACACATTCTCAACATTGGGAGACTGTGGAATAAAATGTGTGGCTACTATGGGTACATTTTAATTAAGATTTCTAATGAAGTTGTTTTTCATTATCCTTTTTGTTATAAATTATTTGTTAAATAACTTAAAAACAATTAAATGGAACCCTGGACCCAGAGGAAAAATGGTGATGACACTTTTTCCTGGTATGCTGAGAGTTAAGAAATAAAATTATTTCAGTAAATGTTTGCATTTTGGTGTTTTCTAGAATGGTATTTTTACATGAAATTCCCATTTTACATTTATTATTGATGCGTTGATAAATATAAAGACCTGCCATTTTCTTAAATAAATCCTTGTCATCCTCATTGATTACTCATCATGGTCAAATAATAGGCTTTATTTAAAAACTTGTTACATTTTGGGGCACCTGGCTCAGTTGGTTAAGCCTCTGACTCTAGATACTGGCTCTGGGCATGAGCTCATGGTTCATGAAATTGAGCCCTGTGTCAGGCTCTGGGCTGATAGCTCGGAGCCTGCTTGGGATTCTCTCCCTCTCTCTCTCTCTCTCTCTCTCTCTCTCTCTCTGCCTCTCCTTCTCTCCCTCTCTCCCTCTCCCCCTCCCCTTCTCTCCCTCTCTCTCTCAAAATAAATATTTTAAGAAAACAACTTGTTACATTTTAACATGTATGTTAACATATGTGTGTTTCTATGTTATGACATTTGAAATTTATTCTCTTTTTTGTGGTGATCTAGTGCTGATGAACTCCTTCTAACTGAGATGATGTTTAATGGCCTTTTCAATGACCTGTCTGCAGAACAGGCAACGGCACTACTAAGCTGCTTCGTGTTTCAAGAGAATGTGAGTTAATAGATTTAATATACCTTATTTATTAATTCATATATCCTGTAACTTAGTGGTTATGGATATTTTTAATTATGAAACTATTTCCTGTTTACATGTGGGCAATGTTAATTAGAAATCAACACTACTTGGGGAGCCTGGGTGCCTGGGTCCACTAAGTGTCCAACTTCAGCTCAGGTCATGCTGTCACAGTTTGTGTCTTTGAGCCCTGAATCAGGCTCTCTGCTGTCAGTGCAGAGCCCATTTCAGATCCTCCGTCCCTCTCTCTCTCTCTCTTTGCCCCTCCACTGCTCATTCTCTTTCCCTCTCTTTCAAAAATAAACATTAAAAGGAAAAAAAAGAATTTAATAAAAAAAAAATTGCTACTCCAACACAAATATAGTAAGAGAAGTAGTAAATAATTAAATATGATTATCAGAAAGGAGAGTGAAATAGGATTTTATTTCTAGATAGTCATTAATCACATTCCAAGTTTTAAATTTGTTCTGTAACTCAGTGCATTATTTGAAGTCTGGTCTAGTCAGATAGTCCTGGAAAGAAAGATGAATGAATGAAAATAAAGGGAGGCAAAAGAGTGAAAATGAAAGGGGAGGTTAAATTAATATCTCTCCTTCCAGTAATGGAGAACAACTTTGAAACAGCTGATCCTCCTAGAGGCTAAAATCTTCATAGGCAATGTTTGAGGTGGTGGCTCTAGGATTCTGATTGCTGGTTTAGCAAGAGCTCCCTTTCAGCAGCTCTTAAAAATCAAAAACAAGTGCTAGGTGGCATACCACAAGAACATGAACTAGTCTTGTACTTTATTCCAAAAGCCGATATGATTTGGGTTTTGTTTTTTAATTTTTTTTATGTTTATTTTTGAGAGAGAGAGTGAGAGACAGAGACAGAGTGCACGCGGGGGAGGGGCAGAGAGAAAGGGAGACACAGAATCCAAAGCAGCCTCCAGGCTTTGAGCTGTCAGCACAGAGCCTGATGCGGGGCTTGAACCTGTGAACCACGAGATCATGACCTGAGCTGAAGTTGGACGCTTAACTGACTGAGCCACCCAGGCGCCAACCCCCCCCCCCCCCGTATGATTTGTTTTAAAAAGTAAAATGCATGTTTTACATTTCAAACTTTATTCATGGTGGATGAAGTGGACAAAATAAGACAAAGACATTTGCCTCCTAAGAATAATTTAATATTGATATCTAAATTTCTAGAAGATCTTTTACTATATACATTTAGTGCAACTTTCAAGTAAACTGTAGAAGACAATTTTTTTTTCCATTCTGCCATTGATGTATTAATTATTTCCTTGTTAAGCAGATCAAATACATTACTTGTTGACTTAAGTAGGTGCTTTTCTCTCAGCTCCCTAATTATTGATGAGAATTACAGCTGATATGGCAATGATTACAAATAGGACAAAAATCCAGAAACAGTTTATCTCCTCTGAGAGTGTCCAGTATTCACCTGTGAAGTAATTTGCATATGAGGAACACATTACTTTACAAAATATTATGTTTTACTCTCTTTTTACATTACATTAATTTCAAAGACAATTGTTAAAAGTATTTGTCAAATTCTCTTTGAAAAGACCTAAGTTAGGACCTGGATTGCTGCCCTTCTGCCTGTGTCCAACTTTGTCTTAGAGCTGATATTTTGCACTTGCTTTTTTTTTTCTAATGTGGCACTATAAAAGTACTGTTTTCTGAGAGCCCAAGTATGTTTCCTCTTCAAAGGAGTTGGGCTTAAACTAAACCATAATTCTTAATTTGGGGAGAAGATGTCACTATATGTGGTTAATTAAGATTTGTTCAGTGAAACCACTGTATTATATGTAGTATCAGTTGTTGTGGTGGTGCCTTTCAATATGAAAATGAAAAATTATGCTAAAAGTTACATGGAATTGTTATAAATATGAACAAGTCTGCTTAATATGCTCACTTCTTTTTAGAAATGTGTTCTATGGGGCGCCTGGGTGGCGCATTCGGTTAAGCGTCCGACTTCAGCCAGGTCACGATCTCGCGGTCCGTGAGTTCGAGCCCCGCGTCAGGCTCTGGGCTGATGGCTCAGAGCCTGGAGCCTGTTTCTGATTCTGTGTCTCCCTCTCTCTCTGCCCCTCCCCCGTTCATGCTCTGTCTCTCTCTGTCCCCAAAATAAATAAACGTTGAAAAAAAAAAAAAAAAAAAAAAAAAAAAAAAAAAAAAAGAAATGTGTTCTAAAACTGTGTCCCTACATTTTTTACATTAAAAGTAATTTAAAGACTAAATACAATCTTTATAATATAAATATCAACCGACTCTAAATATGTATTAAGCATCCCCTGTGTGCAGTGCCCAGACCTAGGCATTAAGGTACAGCAGTAATTTTTGCTTTCCTGATACTTATATGCTAGTAGATGAAGGTAAAGAAGAAAAAAAATACACACAGATTATGTCAAATGGTGATGAAGGTTTTGGAGGAAAGTGGAGCAGAGGAGGCAGACAGAAATCATGGGGATAGGATTACTCTTTTAAACAAGGTGATTAGTAAAGGCCTCACCAATGGAGTGAAATTTGAATTGAGACTTCAAAGAGAGGTGAAGGAATAAATTGTGCATATATTTTATGGGAGAGCATTGGTGAAATGACACTTAGCTTGCTTATGTCAGGACCAGTGCCTTCTATTTATAATGACCAGAGAGGAAATGATCAGTAACTGTTAATCAGTCATGAATGGACACAATATCAAAGATGGTAAGCAGTGTTGAGTTCACTATTAAACTGAGATGTGGAGTTCTTTTTGGCCATTTTGTTTTCTCATCATTCATCTTTTTTTTCTTTTTAAGTTTATTTATTTATTTTGAGAGAGAGAGAGAGAGAGAGAGAGAGAGAGAGAGAACATACAAGCAGGTAAGGAGCAGAGAGAATCCCAATTAGGCTCCATTCTGTCAGCGCTGAGTCAGAAGTGGGGCTCAATCCCATGAACCATGAGATCATGACCTGAGCCAGAACCAAGAGTCAGATGTTTAACTGACTGAACCAACCAGGTGCCCCTTCATTCATCATTATTTTTTTTTATAAGTTTATTTAATTTTTGAGAGGGAGAGAGAGAGAATCTCAAGCAGGCTCCACACCGCCAGTGCCAAGCCTGATGCAGGGGTTTTAACTCGCAAACCATGAGATACGACCTAAGCCAAAGTTGGACGCTTATCCAGTTGAGCCACTCAGGCACCCCATTCATCATTTTTTAATTTGGACAGGAATAATATATACAATCTAGTTTATGATTTATCACTTAATAATACATATGACATGCAAAACAAAACCAGTGCTATGTAAATACTGGTGCTTAAAGTAAAGGCATAGCTATTACAAGAGCTTTTTAAAAAAATTTACATATGATTTAAATCCAGGGTAGATATATACGTATGTCACACATACATATATACCATTCTTATAATGATTTTATTTTTGTTGTGGCTGCCTTTATCACATTTTGTTCATAAATAATGTCTTTATTGTAATCACAAGTTTATAGGTTTTCAGGATCTGACCTTTTATTTCTCTCTGACAGGGTAGAAAACCAACACACAGAATTCAAACCACTTGTCTAAGTTCATTTGCCCAGTTGGTAATAGGCCTGAAAACTCCTATTATCCTAACCGAAAACAAGTGATGAACTTTTCATTAGTGGGAAGGCAATCTTAAGAACACTACAACTCAGACTAAACTTTTAACTATCCCATACTTTGTTAGAGAGCTAGAAATACCTGGGTAAAATAAAAATTGAGGGCACTACTTAATGTTCTTTACCCCAAATTTTCGGTTTCCAGACTAAGAGTTTCCTGGGAACCAAAACTATTTCAAAATCTGACTATGATAAAATAGCTTATAATAATTTTGATGTAACTAAACTACTTTGCATGTTTATAATATTTGCTCTCCCTCCATTCCATTTGTGGCCACAGAAAATAATAAATTTAGCAGTGTAATATTTTCCTCTGAAATAGAATAACTTTATAATTTAGGAGGAAAGGTTGCTTACGTCAACTAAGGTGATTAAAAATTCTTAGTGCTAATAACTAAGGTCTTATAATTTGATATTGATGGATATCCTGAAAGCTCTGTTTTCTTTGTTATAGCAGGAAGTATATACTGCATTTTAAACTTGGGTTTTATCCTTTTCTTTTATAGTCAAGTGAGATGCCCAAATTAACTGAGCAGTTAGCAGGACCACTTCGTCAAATGCAGGTAGAAATTTTTTGAACTACGTATTTTATGAATAGAATATGTAAAATAAACATTTTTCATAGTCTTAGTATTTATCATTCCAGAGACCACTTCTTTCAGGATTAAATATGTTACTTGATGTTAGTCTTGTCATTTAATGCTATTAAATGCTATTAAATTCTCCCCCACCAGTGTAATAAATTTTATTGAGTTGCTGTGAGTGCAGATTTAACATGGAATAATGTATCACATACGCTGTATCAGCAACTCCGTGCCTGCACTGTTTTCCTCGGTGTTAAGAACTGCTTCTTGATGGACTAGGATTTAGTTAGCTTAATTTTTGTGTATTGTTTTCCATTTTAGTTTACAACAAAGTTTTAAAATATGTTTTATCCTCGGAAATTAATTATCCCTGGGTCCTCAAAGGCACAGTAGCTTATAGTAATTGTGTGTCTTATTTTCTGGGGATAAACTATTTTATCTACCTTTTCAACATTAGAAAGACAGGGAAAGATGAACTATATGACACTGCAAAAGAGGAGGAGTGAATTATAACAAAGTCTCTTCGGTGGAACATTTAACATCCCTTGTTACTAAGAAATTTGAACTTCCAGAACCAGGGAAGTTTATATAGTACTCTGTGGTTTTTGACCTTTTATATTACCCTGGAGGAAAGAATGGATCTAAATTTCTCTTTGTGGGGAAAAAATAAAATTAAGATTTATATTTTTTAAAGCATTGTTGGGGAAAAGCATTTTTTTGCCATAGGATTTGTGCTTTTCTAAATCTGTTTTGTTATTGATGTCTTTGGGGTTTTAGGGTTGTTAATAAAATACTTAGAGATTAGTTAAATGCTACTCTTGAATAATTTTAGTGAAGAGTTTCTGGTTGTTTTTGGTTGTTTTTTTTTTTTAAAGGTGTAACTGGGTGAAAAACACACTCATGATCTATTTTTCTTAATTCAGTGTAATGGAGAAATTTTATTACTTGACACTTAGCAGTGGAAAAGGAACTGTAGCTACTTAGAAGCACAGAATATCCAAATTGTGGGCATATTAACCTAGGAAGAAAAAGGGAACTTGTAGAATTCTGGCTTTGAAAATCTAAAGAAAGAAAGTATATGGGAGGTCAGAAGTAAGAAATACTAAGTAAATCTTCTATCTTCAAAGGAATGTGCTAAAAGAATTGCAAAAGTTTCAGCAGAAGCCAAATTGGAAATTGATGAGGAAACTTATCTAAGCTCATTCAAACCTCACTTAATGGATGTAGTGTATACCTGGGCAACGGGAGCAACATTTGCTCATATCTGCAAGATGACAGATGTCTTTGAAGGTATGTTTAAATCCTATATGCATACATTTCTTTCCTTTTTTTTTTTTAATATTTATTTGAGAGAGAGCACAAGCGTGGGAGGGGCACAGAGAGAGGACAGAGAATCTGAAGGGGATTCTGTGCTGACAGGAAAGGGCCCAACGCAGGGCTCAAACTCGCAAACCATGAGATTATGACCTGAGCAGAAGTCAGATGCTTAACCAACTGAGCCACCCAGCTGCCCCTACATACATTCCTTTTGATAGGAAATTATATACTCAGGATGGCAGTGTTTTAACTAAACAAAAATAATATTTTATTTTTTATTTTTTGAAAGAATCTTCAGGCTCCACGTTGAATGTGGAGCCTGATGCGGGCTTGATCTCATGAACACAAGATCATGACCTGAGCCGAAATCAACAGTCAGATAGATGCTTCACAGACTGAGCCACCCAGGCACACCCCAACAAGAATAATGTTTTTAATTTTCGGTAATAAAATGGAATAATGCCATCACAGATAAACAGATGATCCTACTAAGTCATATTTGTGTGGTGTTTTTTTTTTTTTCCCCTCTTTGGTTTTATTTGCTTGGCAGTAACCTCAAGTCTTGCTGTATTAATTCCACTTAAAAGAGCTGAAAATGCTGTCCATCACTGCATTTCTAATAACAAACTTGGCCTCAGTCAGATGTTACTTCAGCATGAATCAGATTAATATGCAGAATTTTTTTTTTAATTTTTTTTTTTTCAATGTTTATTTTATTTTTTTTGGGACAGAGAGAGACAGAGCATGAACGGGGGAGGGGCAGAGAGAGAGGGAGACACAGAGTCGGAAACAGGCTCCAGGCTCTGAGCCATCAGCCCAGAGCCCGACGCGGGGCTCGAACTCACGGACCACGAGATCGTGACCTGGCTGAAGTCGGACGCTTAACCGACTGCGCCACCCAGGCGCCCCAATATGCAGAATTTTTAAAGACTGTAAGATACTGTTGCTCAACTGAACAGACATTTTAAATGAAAAAATGGCAGAGGGAATATGAAAGAAATAAGAATTACAAGAAGCAAAAAACCCCCACAGTATTTAAAGAAGACCGTTTTAGAAATGTTTTATTCATTTCAAAAATATTGGTTTATGTAGATATTTATAATGGTGAATGGTATTTATCAAATTAGAGATTTACATTAAACTCTTTAAAAATGAAAGTAAATGAGCTTGCAGTTTGTAGAGATTATTATAATAATATTTTAAATGCTGTTGTTACTGTTTTTAAGAGAAATTATAGTTTGGGACATCCAATATTATATGCTTTTAAACTAACATTATTAAAGACTATTAATCGATGAATCATTGATTTTTATGATGCAAAGGTCAAACATCTCTGCAACAGAATATTAGAGCCTTTACTATACTACATTGAATTTCATTGGTTTTAAGTTTTAATGTTGACGTTTATAGCATTTTTTTATTATGGTGTCCTGTTGCATGGTGTACATGGTGTCATAAAGTTTATTTCTAAGCCTCCATTAAATGATCATTTAGTGATGTGGTTCTAGAATCTTGCTCTATTATGTGACTACTGTGTGCCAGGCATTGTGCTAGTAAACACTTTATATAATTTACATCTAATCACCAAAGTGATTAACTCAGGGTAGATATTATTTCTTCTTTGTTCAAGAAAGCTGAGTTTTTAAAAAGTAATTTTCCCAACGTCATGGAGGTGTGGTATATGATGGCACTAGGATTTGAATCTCGGCCTCTGTGATTACAAATCACATGGTAGTTTATAACTGCATCTAAGCACCCTAATGCCTTATCCTTGAATTTCGGATCTAGAGACTTCTTAAATCCTAACCTAGATTGCACCATCTCCATCCACTGACACTTCATGCTTGTAGGAATGGTAAGAGGGTATTTATAACAGTTTCATGGTGAGTAGCCATAGCCGAGGATGTGAGAAGAGGAAAGTGTGACACACTTCACTTGTGAACACTGCATAACACACAGGAAACTTGGTATGTGTATGACCACTTGCGCAGTGTAAAGCTGCCATACGGCACCACCACTCTTTGGCATCTTTTTGGAACATAAGAATGAAATTAATGACTGTTCTATGCCTAGGTAATTCCAAGCTGTTATGCTCATATTTATAGAATACCTGCTTCTCTGAGAAGTCAGACACAATGACATAATAGTGGTTCATAGCAGATAGTTTGTTTTGTTTGAAGAAAAATCAAGGGGCAACAGATCTGCAAATGTGGAGAGCCCTATAAAATTGTCTTTGTGGATTATTTTTCTGTTCTTTGTACTTAAATGGAAGAATTATCGCAGTATCGGAGATAGATCTGAAACTGCTAAAATTGAAGACAGTTTGGTGTCTTAGAGCATACCAGCATTCCTGAAATCTATTTTGCCCCTTTCCAATTCCTTGGGGCTATTTGTACATCACAATTTGTGTGAGAAATCTAAGTTTGAAAATCTGAGGAATTCAGTTTATAACTATAACTTGAAGTTGGGTCTGACATCAGTTTAATCTTCATGTTTTTCTAGTCTGGATGCCATTATATCAGCTATACTTTTTCTTTGTAAAATTGGGATAGACTGTATATTAACTCTTAAAAATAAAACATAAGTAAACAGAAAAATAACTGAGAACCTTGATTTACTTAGGATAGTCCATCCTTTTTCCAGCATACTGTGTGTCCCCCCCCACTCCCGCCCTTTATTTACCCTGCTGTTATTTAGTTCTTCCATTTCAGAATAGCTATTCTCTCAACTTGTTATAGTACATGTTTTATATGATTGGGAAAATACTGTAAACAGAGTTCTAGCCCATAGTATATTGTGTCTTGCATGGGCACAAAATTATTGCATTGGAAATTTAAAATGCACTTTGTTCAAAACATATTTGTTACTAGTTTGATTCTTAATTATCTTTTTTTTTTTAATGTTTATTTCTGAGAGACAGAGTATGAGTAGGGGAGGGGCAGAGAGAGAGGGAGACGCAGAATCCAAAGCAGGCTCCAGACTCTGAGCTGTCAGCACAGAGCCTGAAGCAGGGCTCGAACCAACGAACCATGAGATCATGACCTGAGCTCACCTGACTAAAGCCACCAAGGCGCCCCTTAATTTTTTTTTTATATGAAAATAAAAGTGATCCTTTCATGTCATTTCAGAGGTAGTTTTAACTATTTTTCAGACATTAACTGGCACAAGTTAACATTTTAATGATAAATACCATGTGTTTGAAGGGATGCCTAATGCAAGAGAGGAGCTTATACTGTGATTCAATTGAGGAAGTTTGAAGACTTCATACAAATATTTACTTCCTTTGTATCACCCTGAAAACAAAACGGTATAATGTGGATTTTTTTTTCTTATTTCTATCAACTAAATTGGAAGAGCAATTTAAAACAGTATGTGTAGGGGCTAAGGTCTCGAGTTTCAATCTATTACTCCATGTAATAGATCCACTGTAAGCTTTCAGAGGCCCTTAAATTTTGTCTATACAGAAACAATATTGTACTCTTCACTGTGCATGAACGACTTAATTTTCACTTCTTTCATCACAGGAGGTTTCTAATGACGAGTGCTATCACTGGAAATGTTTGCTTCTGCCTGCCACAAGTTTTTAAAACAAATGCCGTGTAGTGCATTCACACACTGCCTCCACTACAAGCTCTTCTCAAAATGCCTTTCAACATGCATAGTTTTACCCTTCCCTAGGTCAAGGTACATCACTCTCACTAGGGATTTTCCAATGGATTTGTTCTTAGAAATACTTTTGCTAATAATAATAGGGTGACCATTTAGTAACATGTATTATGTCTGTTTCATTTCTGGCAAAATTTTAGTACTAAATTACTTAGTATTTGATTCTTAGGCATTTGGTGAATAATTACTGAGACCCTGGTAAGGGAGCAGGTACTGTGCTTGGTGCCTTGTGAGCAGCCGTCTCTACCCTCCAGAAAGGGTTTGGGCCTGAGCTGCGATCCAGTGATAGATAGTTGCAAGAAAATACATTTGTGATCCTAACCTCAGGTCAAACTCATTAAAACCACTTACATGTGAGTATGAAATCAGATTCAGAACATGAACTATGGGGACCACTTTGTGGAATACCAGAAAGCTGGAGGTAGAAATACTGTTCAGAGAAAGGTGTTGCTTTCCATCCTCAATGCGAATCATACTGTTTTGTTCAAGAACCAGATGAGCCTCATTGATTACAAAATTGCCTTTTAAAGCATGTGTGCCCAAATGTCCATCAGTCAGTGAATAATTAAACTATGGTATGTCAGTATAATGTAGTAGCACCTATAAAAAGGAATGAAGTACTGATTAATGCTAAAATGTGAATGAACTTTGAACTCCTTAAGGTTCTAGGTGTAAGAGAAGGCAAATAGAGGGGAGCCTGGGTGCTCAGTCCATTGAGCATCTGCCTTCAGCTCAGGTCATGATCTCATGGTTCATGGGTTTGAGCCCCACTTCAGGCTCTGTGCTGACAGCCCAGAGCCTGGAGCCTGCTTCAGATTCTGTGTCTCCCTCTCTCTCTGCCCTGCCCTGCTAGAACTCTGTCTCTCTCAAAAATCGTAAAAAAAATTTTTTTTAATAAAAAAAAAATAATAATAATAATAAAGGCAGACAGAGGCAACTATTGTATAATTCCACTTATATGAAATGTCCAGAATAGGCAAATCCATAGAGACAGGAAGTAGATTAATGGTTGCCATGGGCCAGGGTCTAGAGTAGGAAGCAACATTGAATTCTGAGTAATCAGAATTTTTTTTTCTTTGTGACAAAATATACATAAAATTCACCATTTTAAATGTCCGTTTCAATGTCACTGACCTTTAAACTCAGGTTTACCTCACCATTCCGGAAAGAACAATGAGATTATAATTCACGGAGCATAAAAATCCACCCTTTTAATTAAGAGTATTATTTAGTGGTTTTTAATGTATTCAGAGCTGTACAACCATTATCACGATATATTTTTAGAATATTTTTACCACCCACAAGAAGTCACTCCTCACTTGCTTATAATATAGTCCCTCACATAGTAAATGGCATAGACGAAATGTAATCCCTGGTCTGTACACTTCGAGACAGTGGACATAGGGTGTCAAGCGTCTGCTCCCCCGCTCTGTTGGGGACATGTGTTGTCTCATTTTGTTGAAATTACTACAAATCACCAGTGACTTTCTGATTGCCAAAATCAGAAAACACCCATTTATCTGACTAGATCCTACTTGCCGGTTTTTACCACTTACTGTTTCTAGAAACTCATTAATGGTAAATTCTTTGGTCCTGGCAATGTAGGTTTTTACAGAAGTGAAGAGCTTTACAGTAAGGCCTAAGAAACTTATAAAATATTTATTTTTTAATTATTTTAAATGTGTAAACTATATTATAAATTGAAATTTTCTAAAGTAATACACATTAGAGAAAATTTAGAAAACATCTCACTTCTATGATCTTTGACATAATTTCTCCATCATTTATTCCTAGCTCTGACCTTGTTCACATTGTCTGTAACTTTTTTCTCCCCTTTTCCTTCTTTGGAAAATGAGGATAATGACAGTGCTTGTCTCGTGGAATTGTAAATGTCAAACAAGGTGATTTACATAAAATACACACTACAGACTTGCCACAGAATAAGTGCTCAGAATCTAATAAAGTACCTTGCTAGGTGCTAAATAGCTTTGACAGAATTGTGTAGTAGAAATAGGGTGTACTTGAGAGGTGGAGTTTTTTTTCCCCCCAGAACTCCATGAACCTTTTAATGAGAGAAGGGCGAAAAAGGCTATGGACATGACATTATATTCCTTTACGGTTTTGCCCATGTCAAAGAATTTTTGTATCTCTTATCTCAAGTGATACCATCCAGAGTTAGGTAGAGCAAGCCCTTTCTTTAAATAGCATTTACTATCGTTGTACATACCTTAGAAATGAGAGTAGGGTAAGGGCCTACATCACAGAGTTAATTACTTAGTGGCAGAATCTGGGCTAGAACCCAGGTCTCCATCAAGTCTTTGCTCTTTTTTTGCTCTGACCTGGTGCCTCAGCTCAGTCCTTTGAACCAAGTCTAAAGTTATGAACATCCTGTATATAAGAGATGGAAGGGTATTATCCCCAGTTGTCTTTAAAGTAACCTGTGTGCTGGTCATCTTCATTACCAATGTCATCCCAACAAAACTCACAGAATGTGCAATAGCATTGTTGTATTTTCATTGCTCTGGCCCATAGGTGGCTTCAGGGGAGGAAAAAAAAAAAGGAAAACTCAGCCCCGAACAGTGAGTATATTTCAAGAACTTGATAAATGCTGATGAATTATTTCAGTGTTACAAGGAGTAGAAGTAAGGGCTTAAGAGTTACTAGCTGGCATGTCAGACAGGTATTCCTAATGTATATCAGACATTAAAAGTAAACTCCCAAGAGTTGTCAACTTGAGCACATAGCTCTTTGAGAAAGGATCCCAGGCCCCTTCTTGCTGAAGTGAGACAGATGTGAAATGATGTTTACAGCTTCAGCTTTAATACAAACACTTGTCTCAGGGAGTCAAATACAATGGGAGGAGGCTTATCTCCTCTTTTGCGTTCCCTTGAGGCACACTGTGTGAAGAAGGCACTGATGAAAGTCTGTTTAAGGTCAGGAAGAATGGATGCATCTTTGAAATGACAAGTCTGATCCTCTTATTACTCCCCCACATAAAAATCTCTGCATTCTCTGCAGTTGACACTTGATCTCGGCCCAGGGCATGATCTCGCAGTTTGTGAGTTCGAGGCCCACTTAGGGCTCTGCACTGATGGTGCAGAGCTTGCTTGGGATTCTGTCTCTCCTTCTCTCTGACCGTCCCCTGCTTGTCCTAATAAACTTAAAAAAAAAAATCTCTGCATTCTCTTCACAGGATGGTATCCAGATCCCTAGTAGGCCACACTCCGCATCCTTGAGTAGCTGCAGTTTGTCAGACTTCTCTGCATTGCCTCAGTGGTCGTCCCTTGTTACTCTGTGACAGAGACCTCCTCATTCTTAATAGACCCTGGTTATATGTTGTCTTTGCTGGCCTTCACCCAAAGTTGCTCTCTCCCCTACTCCCAGAGCATTTTATTTCTAAATAAGAGCAAATGTCAACCCATTATAAGTCCATGACTCTCTAGCATTAGTCAAGGATGGGAAATTTAACTTTTTATATCCTTCCTAGTGCCTACCAGGCAGCCAATGAAGTTTGCTACCTGATTTAATGGATGGGAAGTCCCTCAAAGTACTGTTAGTTAATCATCCCATGTTCTCCTATCTTGCCTGTTAACAAAAGTTCTACTGTTTTGGTTATTTCCATTTTATAAGTAATTTGTTTCCTTTTCTTTATAGGCAGCATAATTCGTTGTATGAGGCGCCTGGAAGAACTGCTTAGACAGATGTGTCAAGCAGCAAAAGCCATTGGAAATACTGAGCTGGAAAACAAATTTGCAGAAGGTCAGTATCCAGTCTATAAGCTTTTTCTAATAAGGCAAATCCTGTGAGACCTGAGTTCTTGACCACAATGTAGGAAGACTTTTTCAGATGCTTTCCAATGGAATGCCATGGAGGGCCATCTAGTAGTGTTTAAAGAAACTTTTAGAGTGTATGGGAAGAAGTTTTGGGATTTTATGTATAATCATTTGTAAGATTTTTTATTGAGTACTGTCTGTCAGGCATTGTTTTAAGCACTAGGGGATACAGCAGTGAACCAAAAAACCCACAAATCCCTGCCTTCATGGAGCTTACATTCTGGTGTGGGGAGATGTAAAATAAGTCAGCACTTAAAATATTTCAGGTGGTTATAAGTCTACAGAAGAAAAAGAGGAAGAGACAATAGGAATTGAGAGATAGATGAGATGCCTGGGGGCCCTACTCAGGAGGTGGCATTAAGGCCCACTCAGGAGTCTATGCTTGATAGACTTAAGCAGCAGCACAAGGCCAGTGTGGCTAAAGCAGAGTGAGCAGTGAGTAGAATAGTATGAAGGAGAAAAGAAATTATCATTTTAACCACTAGGCCCCGGCCTTTTTCCTGAAATGATTATTGGAGGTTTTGAACACAGGAGTGCTGTGCACTGGCTTGGGTTTCAGAGCAATTCTTGCTGTTGCATTGTAGGCCAGTCTGTAGATGAGCAAGGTGGAAGCAGGAAGACCAGATCATGGAAGGATAGCCAGTCCGAGGTGGTAGTGACAGAGGTGGGTGGTGGGTCTAACATGTTTACAGTTTGTTCCGTCTGACACAACCAGTGTCCTGAGACGAGGTGTTCAGAAACTGAGTTCCGTTTCCTTATGCTCGATGGGGCAGACCTATTTCATCAACCCAAGTTTAAGTCTCGTTATATAAACTTTTTTTTTTTTTTTAATGTTTATGTTTTGTTTTGAGAGAGAGAGTGCAAGCAGGGGAGGGACAGAGAGAGGCAGACACAGAATCTGAAGCAGGCTCCAGGCTCTGAGCTGTCAGCACAGAGCCCGAAGCAGGGCTCAAACCCATGAACCATGAGATCATCACCTGAGCTGAAGTCACATGCTTAACTGACTGTGAACCACCCAGCCGCCCCTAAACATTTTTAGATAATAAAATTTGTCTTGTCTTCGGGCAGAAAGAATTTCACATGGTAAGTGAAAATACAGGATCTCCTGACGTAGGCTGAAAGTACATGCTTTTGGGCCAATAACTTCTTTTGACAGTTTAGTCCTTTCCTCAGTAATAAATCTTTGTGAATAATTTGAACCACTCCCACCCCCTACATACACACACGGAGACATACTGGGCATTTCAGAGTCTAGCCTAAGTTTTTATGTTTCCCCCCTCTCAGAGGTGGCTGTGGACTCTTCCAGGTATCTTTTAGACCAACAGGGTCTTGTACCATCAGGATTGTTGTGTTAAAACTGCACCAGAGGGGAATCACGATCTTTGTGGTCTTAAAATTTTAAATCTTATTTTCTTTTCTTGTAGGAATCACCAAAATCAAGAGAGATATTGTATTTGCTGCCAGCCTCTACTTGTAAAAAGAGCCAGTGAAATGAATGTGGGATTTTAAAGTTTTCACCACCTGATTACAGCTGACTACATACAAATGCTTACACAAGTATTGATTTGGTTCTTTCATCTCAAGGCAGTCGTTCAAACATTTTAATACGTATTATGTTTAAATCAGGCATCATGCTAAGAAAGCATACATTACATACACATTTGTACATAAGCATTACATTTTTTTAATAAAAAAATGTACAGGTGGGCATTGTTTTAGTGAAAGGCTTAAAGTTTTTTAAATGAATTCAGAGCTATTAGATAACCACTGTGTTAAAGGGAACTATATACACACAGGTAAAGTGGGCATCCAAGAGGTATAGCAGCAGCAGTCCCTTAAAGGCTTGTACACCATGAAGAAAACGCATCCTCTTGCCTTCTGGTTGCAATCATTTTCCTTTAGAAAGCGGGCCAGCTTGATCTGAGCACTCTGCTACCTTCAAGGTTGGTGATTGTTCCTATAGTGATTGCTTGCGGTTGGTGTTTCATGCAGAGTTGTATGAGAGTCCTCCTCTTTCCTTTCTTTAAAAGGAGAATTTCTCTCCCTGAAGAAATCTGATACATACACTACCTATAGAGAACAAATTCTACTTAGAATGGGACAAAAGTATTTAATGATGTAATTTAATTTTAAAAACCATATACATAGTTGTAACAGTTTGCAAAAAATAAATATAAACAAAAAGCGTATGTTAAAGGGTACAGAAAATTAGTGACCAACAGGAAGTTTTAATGTTAAAGGAAATTCTTCTAAAATTCGGAGTTGCTTAGTTAGGTCTTAAGTACAGCTTTACTCTGTTAGCACTTAAGGTATTTATTCTTCAGTTCATACAAAAAAAAACTCAAAACGCCGTAGGCATAGCCTTTTACAAAACTACATGTAGTAGTAAGTTTTTATAACTTTTAGGAAAAGCAGCATAGTTTATTATCTGCTGTCTATCCTAACATGACTTAGTAACATTGGTGTTCTTAGTAAAAATTACTAAGCCACAGTATCTTCCTTTGTATAGTTTTTTTCAATAGCACGTTTTCTACTTACTTATCCCAGTGTTTATCAGTATCAACATATAGGCTGCCGTCCTGTATACTTACAACTAATATTGCCACCAGAGCTCCTTGAATGAGTCCAGTTAGTACATCACTCCAATGGTGCTTGTAGTCAGAAACTCGAGAAAGACCCACATAAATGGATACAGCAACAAGACCAAATTGCAGTGTGGGGCGTAAGAGTCTTGCCCAGTCTCCCTTCATCCTGGCTTGAAGGTAAAGCTAATAGAAAAGATAAGAATAAAGAGTTTAACATACCAACTAGAAACTTTAGTATCACCACACCCCTAAAGTGTTGGTGTTTGAAATGATTAATAGTCATTAAATGTTAATAGTCATTACCATTAATAACCACTGAATAATCAGAGTATAAATTATATATGGAATAGGGCTTTAGGCAAGCATTCTTATGCTCATTAACACCTGAAAAGTTAATCTTTTTAAAAACCAAAACAGGGGCGCCTGGGTGGCTCAGTCTGTTAAGTCTGACTTCAGCTCAGGTCATGATCTCGTGGTTCATGAGTTCAGGCTCCCATCAGGCTTTGTGCTGACAGCTCAGAGCCTGGAGCCTGCTTTGGATTCTGTGTCTCCCTCTCTGTGCCCCTCCCCTGTTCACGCTCTCTCTCTCTCAAAAATAAACATTTAAAAAGTTTGTTTTTAAAAAAGCAAAACAAAAAGTGCCCAAGAAACTTGACTTTTAGAAGAGTTTATTACTGTATCTAGACTACTTTTGAAATTGTAAAAAAGACCGTTGTTGACAGCGCCTCGTCCTGTGTTTTGTGTTGTAATTCTGATTAAGAGGCAACTGTTATCATTAGTTCCAAGTCTTGGGATAAACTGCTAGCATTCTGAACACAAGGTTGTCCTTATTCTGGGCCAACCTACTAAGTTTTCTGCCCTGTTTATCTAGGGACTAAGTTTAATTCATTCAAACAGTTTACTTGACAGTTCCACAATCCTCAGATTACTTTAAAGGATAACGAAGAATAAATAATCTGTATTTATAATACAGTAATCTGCCTAAATAAGTACAGGTTCTCTGATCCAACAATGAAATACATTTTCTGATTAGCACCTATACACCCTTTTAGTTCCATGACTTTACACTAATCAGGTGAGAATTTCCCCTCTTCTCTGTCAGCCTGCCTTTGACTTTGGGTGCATCCCTAAAGACTTGACCCCCTTTAAGCAAATCTGGTCTCTTTTTTTGAAAAAAATTTTTTGCTTTATTTCTATCTAGTAAGAATATGCCTTCAAAGTATATTTCAAAAATTCTGTTTGATAATTTGTGATTCATACACTTAATCAAATGCATTCCTCAGAAAACAATGTATGTTGGCTGTGTGCATTGGCACTGCCTATTTGAAATAGATACACAATCCATTCCCAGCTCTTTGACCACTGCTGTGAGCATTCAGTTCTCAGCAGCTGGCAAAGACTCAGAGGTTATCTAATTTTATCAAGTTTTTTACATGGTTGTACAACATGGTTGTAAAAGAACATGAGTTGTTCAACTGAATTGCACTCATTAGCTGGTTTAAAGTCCTACTGGCTTTCTGCAGAGCCCCTCCTTTCCTTTTTTGTTTGTTGTTGAAGCTATAAAAACATAAATAGTAAGAGGCTTGTCTCAACATTCTGGAGTTGAGAAGAAAGTCGGTTCTGGTTGAATCAAAGTTTGCATCTGGCAGCTGAAGCCAATTTGGCGACACAAACATGCCAGTTAGAGTCCCCTCACTAGTTCTACCTTAATTGGAATTTTTTTTTTTCATTTTCAGGATAACAGTACCTTGAGTGAGGCTGAAGCCAGGTTTGGATATTACTGCCTAAAAGTGCAGCTGTCCCTATTCTGGTTATTTAGTTGCCTCTGCCTTTTCATATAATTGTTAAAGGCATCGGTTCTGCAGACTAAAAACATATACCTATGAGTTATAAATCCTTCTATGAGTGTATCTTAGGGAGACCTGCACCTGTCTCTGCTAAGGACATAGCAAGAAAAAACAAGACCAACTCTAAAATGGAACTTCCACTTAGTCCTATGTTGTGCTTTCAATTCAAAGGAAACTCAGGGCGCTGAAGGTCCTTCCTCACTTAGGATTCTAAAATCTTCAAACAGTATTTTCCTTCCAAAGACCCTGACTTTAACACAAGGTTCAATATACTTCAGATGAAACCTTTACCCCTTTAAGTTTTCCCCTTACATATCTACCCAAGTATAGGTGTTACCCCCATCTCTGGGGATCCAAAGATTACTTCATCCTAAGGGGGTACTAGGAATCTTCCCCCCCCCCCGCCCCATTGTGGTTATATACCTAACTTTGCCCTCCCTCTAGGCTCTGGCTCCTCTGATGACTAATGGCTGTGGCATGTATGCAGGCTGTGGTCAGAACAGTGGTCATAGCTCTGGGTGAGGCTGGCTAATTGTGCTTTGTATTTGCCTGCTCTGTGTTTCCCTGAGTCCAAGATACTCAAGGGAGCTCTGGGAAGGTCAGGCATCACTTAACCTATAGCCCTGTTCATCTCCATGAAAAATCTTCCATTTCAGTAGACCTCCAGGGGTAAATACTGAGTTTCTTGGACTTTGGATCACTTGCCAAGTCTAGACTTTGACAACTCCCCACCCATGTTGCCAGACAGCTTCACCATATCTTCCTGGTGGCTCCATGTCCAAAGCCTTTCTCAGGTTCTGCAGTACAGATCTCTTAAGCTCCTACCCTCTGAAGGCACTAGACATTTGAGTTCTACCACTCATCTAACTGCTTCCCAACATCATTACCTATTAGCTATTGTTTCCTTTTGCATTCTTTGACTTTGTGGGTTTATAACCTTTTATTATGTTGCTTGTCCTTTAAGAGGAAAGAAAACAGCATATGCTCCTTTAAAAAGTTTCTGTCAAGGAAAGAGTATGTTCCTAACTGCCTTAGAGAAACAATGTCTGAAGCTCTCACCACTGTTCTACTAGTCCTAGATACAGGGACAGAGCTCATGGATTAATGCCACAGCTGATAATAAGAAGGCTCTATAAGTCCCTGCCCTTTGCAAACTCCATTCTTACCCCCAGTCCCCACACATACATACCTATGCCAATCATATAGGCACTAAAACACATTCAAGGGTCGCCTGTCTGGCTCAGTTTGTTAAGCATCCAACTCTGTTTCAGCTCAGGTCATGATCTCACGGTTCATGAGTTCGAGCCCTGCATGGGATTCTCTGTCTCCCTCTCTCTGCCCCTTCCCTGCTCAAAATCAACATTTAAACAACACACACACACATTGGTGGAAGGAAGTCCGTTCCTTATCTTGGAAAACTCAGAAGAACTACAGAACTCTAGTCCAACATTGTGTACAGTCCTGACAGACTCTCTGGCAATCTTACAAATTCCCCTCCGGGGCAGGGGGGCGGGGGCACTGTCTTCCCACAACACAGTTGAAGGGGGAAGGGGAAGCCCCATTTGAACCACACAGCTCTGCCTTTACTTTTGAGAGGACACTGAAGATGACCCATGACACGCCTGACCCAGACATCTGCTGCACTGTATTCTCCCTCTGGAATTTACACTGGAAGGATGAAAGGGTTCTCTTTTTTGTTAGAAGTGTAGAAAGGATACCTAAAAGGATACAGGATAGGCTACTTGCAAACTCAGCTTTTAAGGATGTAAGAGCTATAGTTCAGCAATGACAGCAAGCCAGTGAGTAAATGGATCAGAATGGCAGCCACACTGAAAAGCCAGGCGACTAGTGAGACTGAGCAAGTTCAGTTCCGTTACCTGGTGGGAGGCTAGTTCTGGACTGTGTTATGTCTTTACTATCAACCTTTTTTTTTTTTTCCTCTGGGAGATCGAAGTGAGTCAGTTGCTTACATACAACCAAAAGATAAAAAAGCCAGTTACCAGCCACTCCTGTGTGTTTAACCAAAATCTCATTTTGTTTTAATT